ATAGAATCTAAAGCCCCTAAGATTAAAAATAAGAGCCCTCTAATATAGAACCTTAAAGCCCCCAATATCAAAAATAGGATTCCCCTAATATAGAACTAAAAGCTCCCAAGATCAAAAATAAAAGCCCCTTAATATGAAACTTATAATCCCTCAGATATAGAACTAAAATCCCCTAGATATAATACTAAAATCCTCTAGATATAATGCTAAAAGCCTCCAGATATAATACTAAAAGCCCCCAGATATAGAACTAAAAGCTCTCAATATCAAAAATAGATAACCCCTGATATAGAATTAAAAGCCCCCAATATCAAAAATAAGAGTTTCCAGATATAGTACTGAAATTCTCATATTATAGAACTAGAAGTTCCTAAATACTACTATATAAGAAACCCCTAAATATTAGACTATAGTACTATATCATCAGGATTGAATTAAAAACCAGCAACCCCCACTAAGGTAATCACCACTCCCCCCTGCTTCCACAACCTCATCAAACTTAAGATTATTTCAATTCAATATAAAACCATCAATTTGAAAGATATCAAAAATGTAATTTCATAAATAGAAAATTCAATTGAATCTCTATTCATTTCTTTTTTCAGATTTTCAAAAACCCTAAAATTGAAACCAGAAAGAGTAATAACCAATTGGAGAGTTTTTGAGAGGGTCACCACTCCCCTTAGGGTTGTAATCACCACCAGTGCTGACCACCAAAAAAATCCTTAGAATAATAGTTAGTTATTTCGAAAATGTTTTATTGGAATATTTTTGTATAATTTGTATAAATATTATATTATATTATTTAATAAGATATTTCTAGTATTTTTTATTTATTTCGAAATATACTTTTATATAAATAATTATCTTATTGAATTTTATTTTTTGATTATTAAATCTATTAAAATAAAATAACAAAATAATATCTTAAAATATTATTAAAAAAACTAATTTATATTATATTTAATTAAATTTGATTTTCCTATACAATTCATAAAATATTTAAAGTTTCTTTTCTAGAAAATTATACTTTTTATTATTATATTTGAATTTGCTATTATTACATATTTTTTTTAAATCTAATAAAATGTTTTATATATAGTCTAAATTTAGTAATTTGTTTTATATTAAATAATTAAATAATATAAATTAAAAAAAGGAAATAAATAGAATTTGTTATTTTTATAAATCTCGAAAATCTATTAAAAATAATATTTGAATTTGAATTACTTTTTTTAATAAAATAAGATTATATATATTCGAATATTCTGTTTTATTTTTTAAAAGTAGTTTAATAAAGATTCTAATATAACTAATATTTCCTTTTATTTATTATACTTAAAAACTATAAAGAGTAAACTAAATTCGTACAAATTTGAAAACTTTGCAATATACAAATTTAAATATAGTCTCCATTCATCTCTAATACTACTCCTGAAATTCTTTCCACAAATATTATTCTTTATACTATTTATACTACAAATTAATAATTTATATAATAATATTACTATTTATTTAGATTTCTATAAAATCTGTATTCTCCGGATTTAGCTATTATCCCCAAAGTACAGAATCTACTTTGTATAAAAGTATTTCGGGAATTGAAAAAATTATTTTAAATAGTAAGGTTTGATATTGTTTATATTAAATAGATTTATTATATAATATATACAAATATATAATAGATATAAATAGAATTAATAAAAATCAAATTATTTTGAAAAAAAAATAATTAAAATTAGAGATTTCTTTTTAATATATAATTCGAAAAAGATAATTTGGAAAATATAATATTCTAGTTCTTTTATACAAACTATATGTAAACTTAATCTAATTCAATCTTATTTATCTTTTCGAAAAATATTTCTTTTTATTTCATTTAATCTAGCTATTCTATAATTGAGTTATTTAATTATTAATTAATATTGAATTGATTTAAAAAGGTAAAATTAGAATGATATAGTATTATATTGTCTGCCCTCTTCATACAATAAGGGTATATCTATACTATATATATATTCTACTCTACATATACACTTCGTGTGGCGGTGAGGGGCTAGCACATGATCTGATTCACGTGTTCCAACATTATCAAAGTGGATTAAATCTGGGAAGACGGCATCGACGACTACGACAACCTGTCAAGTGGAAAATCTATGGATATAGGTAAGAAGCAGTCTTACCTAGTCACTTTACCTGGAGAAGAGTAACTTAGTGCACGGGTCTTTCCCAGCGTTACGAGAATTTGTTTGCTTTATATTTACTTTTTATTGGATTTTCTATATTTTTCTCTCGTTGTACACTTCATCTTCGTGAATCAACTCACCTAAATCAAATCAACTCTTCGATTCAACCCAGAAATAAGAATATTAGCGATATGTCAAGCCCTGTACAACGTCTTTAGCTCCCCAACGCGCTCCACCGAGCAGCGAGCTCAGGCAACAATATCAAGATCCCCCTTACCCTCTTGACTGTACTCAATACCAGATAGCAAAGAGTAAGAACTGAAGAACTAATAATTACAAGCTGTAAGTATAAATTTTGGATTTAATACTTATAATCTATAAGGTATATTAATTACTTAAACAATAATATCAAAATCCCTTTTACCTGGTCGATTATATTTAATATCAAATGGTGAAAAATAAGAGTTAAAGGATTAATAATTATGAGCTGTAAGTATAAACTCTAGATCCAGTACTTACAACCCATAAGGCACATTAACTGCTCAGGCAACGATATCAAGATCCCCCTCGCCCTCTCGGCCATACTCAATACCAAATGATAAAGAGTAAGAGCTAAGAAACCAGTAATTGTAAGCTATAAGTATAAATTCTGAATTTAATACTTATAATTTATAAGGTATATTGATTACTTAGATAATAATATCAAGATTCTTTTTATCCTCTTAACTATATTCCCCTGTAGTAGTAGAGTTAATACCTATATATAAATAAAATGTCAGTATAAATTCCTGTATAAATATTTGATATATATATTATTGAATTCAAGCTTTTTTCATTCCTGACGAAATACATTCTTTATTATCGATGAATATTTTCCAGTTCAAAATAAGTATTGTTTATTATTGATATTTTAATAATAGAAAAAAAGAAAATAAAGGCTCTTCAGATAAAGGACCTTAGGAAAGGTGGACGGGAGGGGAGCGAGTGTAGAAGCTAGGAGGAGGAAGGGAGTGAGCGGGGGAGCTAAGAGGAGAAGGGGAGCGAGTGGGGAGCTAAATGATAGGCGGAGGATATTAGCCGAAAGTCTAAAGGGGAGAAGGTTTCCGTATTTTGCTATTTATTTTTAATTTGTTTTTTAAGTAGAAGCTTTATTATTGTACTATATAGTATAGAATGTATTGTTTAAATCAGAATACATATTAAATTTAATCTATATAGTTATAATTAATAATCGATTATTAATCGAGTTTAATACAAATAAACTTTTTCATTTCCAAATAATCTTAGACTAAAACTTTCGAAAATCAAAAAATTTCGAAAATTTCTTTAAGTTCTTTTGAAAGTAAAAATTTCTAATTATATATATATATAAAAGTTAATTATATTAATACTTTATGAGGCATTTTTTCAATATAATATTAATTATTGAAATTTTTAATATAATTGATGAAATTATTTATTCGTCAATTACGGATTCTGCTACTACAGGGTTCAATATCAAACAGCGAAGAGTAAAAGCTGAGGGACTAATAGTTATAAGCTGCAAGTATAAACTCTGGATTCGATACTTGATGTAGATACTAAAGAAGAACAGCCGCAATGCGCATATAGAGATACTCCTTAGTTCGTGTTTCAAGACGAGTGGCTTATAACCATTACGCCAGCATCCTAGCCGAAGCGCAGTCCTCAGTCCCTGTAGTAGCAGAGTTAATATTTTTGTATGAATAAAATGTTAGTATAAATTTCTACATAAATATTTAATATATATATTATTGAATTCAAACTTTTTTTGTTATTAATGAAATAAATACTTTATTATTGATGAATGTTTTTAGTTCCAAATGGTAATTGTTTATTATTGAATTTTAATAAATATAAAGAAAATAAGGGGCTCCCGGGCCTCTCTCCACCCCTCTTGCAAACTCTCCTTGGTACGAAAGTATGGTATGCATGTGCTGCCCGAAGGCATCTGCGACGAATGGCAAAACGGCGAACCACACCGAACAACCAGCCCTTGGTTCGACGGAGAAGAAGAGAGGGAGGATGGACAGTACACCTTGAGGGTGATAAACGATGTCCCGCACCACAATCGTACAACTCGCGCAACTGCAATAAGCCCCCTGCGACAAGCGTACGACATTCCAATCAATATCTCTGATGATGACGAGGATGACAATGAGGAAGAGGAGAATGAGCCGCTTGCTACACCTATAAGAAAGCGAAAAGCGACAAGGAAGGCGGAGGAGACAGTGGTGGTAATGAAAGAGCCTAGGTCTCCGGAAACAAAGAGACAAAGGAAATGATAGGAACGGACTTGAGGGCAAGCCGTTTTTCAAAGAGGGAGGGTGATGTGACGATCTTGCCTCAGACCTAGATTAGTTATTCAATTGCCCTACCCAATAGATCTAATCTCGCTTTGCTTTTGGTCCCCTCCTGATCCCCTTCAAATTTATAAAAGCCTTTTATAGATTTATTCTTTATATAATAGTTTATTATTCTCTGATTATAATGCTTGATTCTTTTCTATTATGCATTGAATTTGTTGTTGTTACAATGTGTTGCGGCTAAATCTTATCGATATTTAAAAAAACTTGACTATACCGATGTGGGATACATCACATCTCTGCAGTAGTACCATACGGGATTGGATACTAAGTATATGCCTTCCAGGTAGTTCAGGGCGTCTTCGGAAGTTCGGAAATCTTTGCGTAGCATCTTGGGCTTTAGATGCCTCAGTGCCTCACCAGTAGTCCATCAAAAGATTGCTCTTACTTGCAAATCTTCACCCGGATAACGGTCTGCATTATCCAAGAGTTAACCTTCAACAAGCAATGTCCATACTTCGAATGAGGGGTTAACTCCGTCATCCAAGGTTTCCGGGTCTTTCACCCTAGCACTCAACCTAGTTTTGCTAGCTAGGGAGGCTACGGAGCCATCACGTATCTCAACAGAAGGAAAAATTCCTGCAGGATTTTCGGAGGCGTCTCTTTGCTGTAGATGTGGTTCCGATGGGTTCGACTCCGTGGCTCGTCCAACTGTCACTCGTGTGCGATGGCGGCTTCTGCTGCGCGTTCTTGGTTCCAGCATTTCCCGAATACTATTCATCATAATGTCTTGTCTAGATAGACCGGGAGGTGGGGAAGCAAGAGGGTCGGGTTGATTGGATTCCATCTCTTCGTCTTCGGTATTTGGAGTGCTACAAGATTCTTGTTGTAATTGCTGGTTTGGGCCCAGGTTTTCGTCAAGAGTTTGGCCTCGTCGTGGTTGAATTCTACGAGGGGGCATCCTATGCCAGGAAAGACGGAAAGGTCTTTGCTTTTTTGATATGGGGGCCTTTCGCTTTCTTGTTCAATGACCTCGAGGGTATAACTTGAGCGTAGTGTCTGCTTCGTTCAGGGACTCGAAAGTATAACGCGTTCAGGGACTCAAAAAGAGTATATAACGTAGACCGATATTATATACTTCGCAGGTAGTTCAGTGACTCAAATGAGTATAACTACCTATAGATAGATATTTTGACCTTCTCAGAGAGATATTCTGTTCTTCACAGGGGTGCTAAGAGTTTGTTATAATGTGACAACAAAAGGTTCAAGGCATAATAGAAAAGAATCAATTATTATAACTAAAGAATAACAAACTACAATATAAAGAATGAATCTATAAGAAACTTTTATAGATTTAAAGGGGATTAGGAGTGGATCAAAAGCGAAGCGAGATTGGACCTATCGGGGCGCCAATTCGAGAAAAGTCTGCCATTTTTGAACCCACTTGAGAACCCTCTACAACTCCCGGGGTCCTACTAATCGAAAATCTCACCCCCTGGAGAACCCTGGATAATGCTACACCTACGGAGCCTCTAATCAGACGAAAGACCATATATGTGCAATGAAGATCCAAGAAATTGATGAGATGCAAGATGACACCCCCACTAATCCTGTCCAATCAGAAGTGTATCCAATCTCCGACTCCGACTCATGCGAATCGGGAAAAGACTAATCCTTGGGAAAGTCTCCCACCAAGGATTTCAATATACGAAGAATATTGATCTGAGGAGCCTTATGGGAGGTGACAGCTTTGCTGTCACCTGATACCTACGAACTCATGGCTTCCAAATCCGTTGCTACGCTCTGACGGATACTGGCGCTAGCACCTACCTTCTTATCAACGCTCGGTTTGCACGACAAATCTCCAAGCGCACGAGCACCCCTTTACTTACCTTGGACCGCCATATCGACATTCAAGGTTATGACGGACGGCCAGGGGCCTCTGTCACCCAAGCTATACGTCTAACTTTACGACTAGACGGTAGAACCTTTCTCCAAGCACCCTTCTTATTGATTGTTATGAAGAGAGATTTGATCTTAGGCAACGGATGGCTTAAATCTCACGATATTATTCCCCGATCCTACAACCATACACTCATATAGCCTGCCAATCTGCCAGCCATACCCAATTTCTCAGGTGGATTCAACATCCCCCGCAACTCTCTGAACAAGCTCGAAACCTTCGGCCATGAGGAACACCAAGCGAACGTCAATCGAAGAAGTCAGTTCTTCGATGTCAACTCCCTGGACCTCTCTATTATACCACAAGCAAAGTTCACTAGTCGACACAATTGGAATATTAAATACAACCTTAGGAAGATGGAAAGACTGGTCGAGCAATATAAGAATCAAAAGATTATGGTCCCCTCCGAGGGCACCAAAAATGACATCTTGGTCCCCTCCGCAGGTACCAAGACTGCTATTCTCAATCACATTCTTACCAATTCTGACCCGTTCGAATCTCCACTGCACAGCTCAATGAACATTGCTGCTAATCACGGCTGAAGCCTTCAAGCTTTATACTCATCGTCACGACAATACGGTTTTTGGCACTAGAATACATGAAGTCGACAACATACTTAAAGATCACATAGGAAACATGGAACCTGCCGAATTCGAAGAGCTCAGTTCTCGGGTCCCCGCTGCCTACCATGACTGGCTTAATGTCTTCTTCAAAACTATGTCTAATGAGTTACCAAAACATACTTGTTAGGACCACCGCATTGAAATACCAAAAGATACAATCTTAAAAACGAGGCCAATCTACAATATGTCGACTGAAGAAATCTTAGTCGTCAAGGAATATATTATGGATAACTTAAAAAAAAGGTTTCATAAAAGCTAGTTCCTCCCCATTCGCAGCGCCAGTCCTATTCGTGGCTAAGCCTGATGGAGGGCTACGATTCTGTATAGATTACCGACGTCTCAATGCTATCAGGAGGGCCTGCGGCATACGGATATTGCGCATGGAAGCTTCTTACTTTGTGGGGTGCATACATCACATCTCTGCAGTAGTACTATACGGGATGGTTGTCATAGCCTACCCACCTTAACTTGTAAGGGACCTCTTTTCGAACGATTTTCGAGGCTAATATGTCTTGAACCTCGAATTCGGCGTCTGCGGCGACTACAATTGGAGGTGGAGGGGGGCGACCTTTTGGCCAGGCACAGGATTGTCTGGTGCTTTTCGGAGTTTATCTGGAGAAAAGACTTCGTGCACTTTTATGCTGTCTGGCAGATCAAGACGATAAGAGTGACCTTCTTTGGAAAGAATGGCGTAGGGACCAGCCATCTGCAGATCGAGCTTCCGGCTAGGTCTTTCAGTGGCAAAGTTTTTGTAGTAACGAAGACTTTGTCGCCAACCTCGAAATTGACGGCTCGTCTGTGCTTGTCGGTATCCCTTTTCTTTTTGTCTTGGGACTTGCGGATAATCTCTTTAGCTACCTCCCAGGCTTTTTGTATCCTAGATGCAAAAGCTTGCGCTTCTTCTTGAGAAAGTTTCTCTTGAACAGTAGAAGCCGCGAGGAACCTATCCCAATCAAAAGAAGTGACCGGTCCGTACCCATTTTGAAGCTCGAAGGGGGACATTCCCAGACTTTCATGCGGAAGGGTGAGTTGTGTATAATCCATGATACACAAGAGTTCTGACCAGTTGTCCTGGTAGTAATTGACGTAAGGACGTAGGCGCTAGTCTAGATACTGATCCATAATCTCTGTTTGGCCATCTGTTTGAAGGGTGGTATGCTGTGGAAAGTTTCAACTTGACTCCTAAGATTCGGGTGAATTCTTTCCAAAAGAGAGATATGAATTGGGGGCCTCTATCGGAGGTTATGGTTTTTGGAGCACCTTTCCATCGATAGATGTTGTTTAAATATATCATTGCCATATCTCTGGCGTTGGTAGTCTTATAGCACGGTATAGAGATGGACTGTTTCGATAGTCTGTCTACTACCACAAAAACATTTTCGTAACCAAATTCGTCAATAGGAAATGTTTTGAAATCCATGGATACATCTGCCCAGGGCCTTGAGGGTATAGGTAATGGCTGTAGGAATCCTGGCATCTTATCCCGGGGAGTATGGAAGTTGTGACAAGTGGTACATTTGTCGACATACTGGTCAATGAATTTTGACATACCCTTGCAAAAATATCTTTTCCGCAGGATCAGCTTGGTCTTGGTTCTTCCAGGGTGTGCTGAGGAGATTTGAGTGTGGGCTTCTTCTATGAGACTGGTACGCAGATGGTCTATATCAGGGACAACAAGGCGATCTTGTGTAAAACGAGACCGTTTCTTATAGAGTATCCTTTCTTCAAGCGGGTTGCCAAATTACGTTCTGCCTATCAGAGCTACCCGTATTATCGCTGTTGTCATTACCCTGTTTCAATATACATTTTGAAAAAGGGTATTTTAGTAGTGATCATGAAGTCGTAGATGTGTTTCGTTAATCTTGGAGGTGCTACGAGTCTTGGCATCGAGTGGCGATTCGAGGAATCGGGAACGTTTGCCGAAAAATTAACATCAAAGTGATAAATAACACGATGACAGATAGAGAGATGAAATTGCAATGGTGGAGACTAGTATGTGTGTTAGGGAAGTTGTGATTATTGGAATATGTTGAAGATCGGAGATTCGCCACGAATTGAGAATCCTCGCAAATGAGAAGCTCCAAAGGTTTAGAAGTACTGTAGATTCAGGCCACTGGACATCCCAAAGGCTGTAGACATAGAAGTGGTGTAGATTTAGAAGTGCTGCAGATGCAGGAGCTTTGTAGGTTTATGAGTGTTCGAATTCAGGGGTCTCGCAAACTCGAAGAGCAGCAGATTCAAAGCGCCACGAATATAGAAGCGATGTACATTCAAAGGGTCGCGGGTTCAAAAACGCCGTAGATTCGAAAGGCGGTAGATCCAAAGGATTGCGGATGCAAAAGCGTCGCAGATTCAGGAGTATCGCGCAGTCTGAAGCGTCGCGGATGTGGAAATGCAGGGAATTCACAGGGCTGCGGATGTAAAGGAGCTACAAGCTCAAAGAGAGGTGGATCCAAGAGAGTTGCGGAGCCAGGAATGTCGCAGATTCAGAGGGCCACAAATTAAGAGATGTTGCTGGTTTGTAGGGCTGCAGGTACAGATATGCTGTATATTCGAAGAGCCAGGGATTCAAAAGGTCGTAAATATAGGAGCGCCGCGTATTCAAGGGCGTTGCGTATTCAAATAATTGCGGATGAGAATGCGACGCAGGTTTGGTAGCCTTGTAGAATCCGGTGCGAAGGGTCGCGAAGAAGGAAGATGATTTCCAGAGCCTTCTGGTGGCATGAGTACTGGTAGAAAGGGTTTGTCAATAGTTTGGCCTCTTGACATATCACCAGCCATGATTGCCAACCTCTTCATATCTTCATCTAATTGAGATCTCATTTTTCGACATTTTGCGCGAGAGTATCTTTCTCTTTGAAGAAAGTGGTTGTTGCTTGATGGTAAAGCTCCACCTCTTTGAAAAGAACCGAGTATGATGTATAAATAGTTGCCGGATCTTTAAATCTGCCATTTATTATCTTCATATCTGCGATGTTCTTCTTTAATATAGATCTGATAGCATGAAGAGGTACATTATCAGTGGTAAAGAAGGAGAGGTCAGTGGGGGATTCATTTGAAGCTATATGATGAGTCTGTTCAAGTGAAATTGAATGTACAGATGAAATATGTCTGTAACGGTGATACATTGACCATCTTGGTTATATGAGAATGCATTTTGTATGGATGTATATACTTCCTTCACTTGTACCACGAGCCATCATTGGTCCAGAAAATTTGATGTTCATTGTGAACTAAATTGATCAGCTCAAATAACACTTCCCACTCAGCAATCGGCGAGTATCCTTTAAAGGTGATCAATATACTTATGGATTTATTTGAGCTCAAGACGCAGCTCTTACCTCAAAACTGTTAGAACATAGCTGCTACAAGTATCACTTGCACTTAAAATTCTTATCATGAATGATATCAGTCTGAAGAGATTCTCGCCTTTTTTCTAAGGAAAAAACTCAAAGCACGTTTTGAATCTTGAAATCAACTTTTTTGGTCGATGGTACTGAGATTTTTCAAGTCGCAAAGCTCATCTTTGTGGTTTGGTGGAAAAACTAAGCGAGATAATCGTAAACAAAATATATCCTCAAAATTGTTAATTTCTGAATTTCAATACCTGCATCCATCTCCAATACCCAACACTCAGCCTTCCTTTCCAATCATGATTTCAAACAAAAGAAGGTATCTTCTTCAAGAAGATGCTGGTAATGATGATTGCGATGGTAGTGGTAATGGTAGGCAGACCGGCTTCGATGCCAAGAATGGTACGCTTCACAATAAGCGCTCCCGTACCAAGCTTTCGAGCAACGGTAGCGATTATCAGTCTTCCAACGAGGATAGGTATTCGCGGGATCGCGCAATTCGTGCCGCCGCGCATTGGCGTACCGTTGGTGCAGGTGCGATGTTTGGTAGTGGGGACCTCGGTGGCCGCAAGGTTCTTCCAAGAATTCACCAAGTGGCGACGCACAACATGGGGGTTTCCGTCCATGGTTGGAAGTTTCAAGCTGGGGTAAGCAAGTTCTCATCATTTAAACGCCACAATTTCTATATCCTGTACAGGAATGTTGGCTAACTTCATCAATTTGTAGTATTGGATCCCATTCTTCGGTATCGCTCTCCACCATCCGCTAGCGTTCCGGTTGACTTTTGGTACTACGATGCCACCACAATACATCGTCGAGTTACAAAGGGCAAATTCGGTATTGGAATCAAGGTATCACTTCTCAATATCAAAGAGAGATGTTGATAGAGGTAGTCAGAGCACGGATGTAGTCTTTGTGCACTTGTCGGTAAAGAGTGAACTCCTTCGAGACTGTCGAGAAGGGTACATTCTTGCCGACTTGGCATCAATGATGGAATTTCTGGACGATTACCAGTCGTATCTGGGCGGCTGGACCAACCGCAACGTGTACCCGGATACCATCGACGTCATGTTTAGGGCATGGCTGGTAAAGCATCCTGAGCTGCCCCACGCTCAGAATCACGTCATCTCGGTACCCAACCACCTCCACAGCAGCCCTGGTAGTACGAATGCCGATGGTAGATCCTTTCGCTCTTTTCCTGGATCCATACCTCCTACCGGACCCAGGTACTCAGCTGGTATGACACCTTCCACCGCATACAAGCCGGTACCTGGTAAAATGGACCCCCCCAAATCCCCGCGTCCTTGGGTAAATCGGACCATAGTTTCTGGATCGGTAGCCCCAATCCTTTCTTCTGCGGGCTCGGCTTCTCCGCCGGCAATCATGGTAGCATCTGCAAGCTCCAATGATGCAACAATCTCCCTTGGCACCGGGCGGATTGCAGGCTCGGTCACTCCTGGTACAACAGCTCTTTCTTCGTCGGGTATTGTGGAGCCTCTGCGCGGGGAAACCACGAAGGCTTTCAAAATTGCGGTAAGTACAAGACTTTGTCCCAACTTTCTACTTAATACTGATGTTCCACAGACTGGTCGTCGCATGCGAGAGCTGTACGATGATAAGTACACCAGGGAAGAGTTGGTTGCGGAGATTAGTAAGGATAGTGGTATTTTTGCAGCGGACTCACCTGCTGCATTGTCTTTGACAGTAAGCACTTCTTTCATTTGTCACTTTGTATACTAAGCCTCAATGACTAATCTTTTTTAACACAGATCCGCCGGTATCTACGAGAAAGATATGATGGTAAAGGTAGTAATGAGGAGATCTTGGCAGCTCTGGCTGAGGATTTTCTAGTGTTTCCGAAGGAGTTGGGGTATTGAGATGGGTAAAGTTGCTGGTAATCATGAGACGCTAGATCTGATTTAGCGTTGGAACCAGAATCCGTTGGCAGATGGACTTTAGAAATTAGTTAGTGGCTGTAATTCAAGGTCATTAAATACTCTATGAAGAAGAAAGAATTTTTTTGGTGAAATTAAGACATTTTCTTGTACTTTGACCTTTGAGAATCCCTTTTCTTTTCTGGTTCAGAGCTCAGCCTTATTAGATGAGAAGTTGATATCCAAAGACAATATCTCTGCGCGCATTAAATTTCCTGTCCCAGAGGACAATTTCTTGATCCTTTTTTTCGCTATTGTTCCAAGATACCCCCCATTTAGGGTCCATAGCAATCAAATCACCTCAGCTTTTGACTCGCCTTCATGATGCTAATGCCGGAATTATAACTAGGTTTTGTTCCACGGAGTGTCAAAAGGACATCGATCGTTCATTGGATTCTCCACTGGTATGTGTCACAATATGTTGAAGAAAGAATTCTCCAAATATGTTATAAAACCGTATATCCTGGCAGATTTTGCAAGCATTGATCTCAATATTAATCTCTTGAGTTCGCTCACATTTTTTGTAATACATATATTATATTAGGTAGTTGTGACTGTTGGACATAGAACCCGTGCCATTAACAACATGCAATGAAATACTTTGGCCATCCAATATTCAAAGAAACGTAACAGCTGCAATCACGGCCTCCAATCCTACAAGTCCAAGTAGAACCCTATCTCCACTTCTCACTCCAGCTGCCCCACCAGTACTTTATAAAAGACCAGTGGTAGTTGGTGTGGAGTTCAAAGTCTACGCTGAAGTACTTCTTGAGGTAGTCGAAGTGGAAGTCGAGGTAGAGCTTCCACTTGAAGCCCCCGTAGTATTTATGGCTTTGTCTCCAAATGAAACATCGAATGAATTTCCCATCAATACTGTCAACTTTGCCCTCTTAACTACATCTGCGGCGTTGAAGTTTCCTCGAGTTTTTCCCGCCACTCGAAGGGAAGCTAGACTCATGTTCATCCCTGTGGTGTTGAATAATAATTGTGTATATCTATGAGTAGTTGGCGCTACATCTGGAGGGTTTGGTTGTAGATATGTGGCAAATGCAGATGTGTTCTTTACGTTGATCAGTTCGTAGATCTTTTGACCTCCGATATTCGTCGTGGTATTTGATGATGTGAGATCGGCTTGCATCCAGTGGAGGAATTGGGAAGTATCACTCCCAATTGTTGCGGGTGGAATATCGGGATCTACCATCATTACTGCGTAGGTACCACTCATTTTTGTGGTTGTACCAAGAATAGGAGCACTGGCTGTGTCTGAGTATTTATTAGCATGCCGTCGCGATGCAACTTAGAGAAAGAATCCTACCAGCTCGTAACATTTGGATTCCATTTGTTGCAAGCTTCGAGCCATATGCAACAGTAAGATCGTTAGTTGAAGATGGTTCAAACCCAGACGGCGTGGAAGCTGATGCCCCGCCGGCGAGCGCAACAGTGAGTACGGAAATTACACAGAACATGTTGCAGGTGATTCTACGTGTCAGGTTGAGTTCAAAATAAAGTTAAATGGATGCTTATCAAGATTTTCCTCCGAGTGACTGAGTTCATATAAATGAATGGAAAGGATAGACTGTTCTTGGAAGTATCACATTGTCACATCACCGCCAAATCATACACTTCAAACTGCCAAGGATTCGAGATGACGACTCAATTGTAAAACAACACACCAAGATCGTTCCAAAACACCATGCGTAACAAGCCAATATTGATCAGAAATCTCAGCATTTCAGAGGACAGATCAGAATTATCTGAAACTACTTCCAATAGTCCCATAAACAATCAGATTGAGCCTCCGAGACATCGAGGGGTGACATGCGAAAAATCATGACATGGAATGATTCAAATACGTGCAGATACGAAAGTTTCTTTGGATTTCCAGAATAGAAGCTTTCCGTATGGAATTATATTAAAATCAATAACATTCATCAAGGGGGCAGCAAATGTCTGACCCCGATGTCATAGCGCTATGTTGCTGGCAACTCCTAGCGGCGTTGGTGTATTATCGGACGGGTTTCGTCACGTGTCATGACATTAATGATCATCTCAAGAGCAATTCTAGTCGGTGCCCTCACATTGTTGTTGTAAAACACGGGGTCAAAAATACATCGCGAAATAAGAAGATTCAACTGTTGTAGATTACTAAAGTTTTAAGGATCTTCAAGGTAGATGGTGATCCTGGGAGCTGGAAGACTTCCCTCAGCCTTCTCCTCAAGCTGATAGGCTTCTTTGAATATTTCGTTGAGAAATTCCAAGCTTTGCTTTCTACCCAGCTCAGTACAGAGCAAATTATCTTCGGTAAATCTGACAGATCTACCCGGGTATATCAATATTTCCCGGATTTGACAAAAACGTGCATCTCCCCAGCAAGAAAAAGATAGTGTTCCGTGCCGGTCGTTGTTGAAAGAATCGATGTCCCCGGCGCTCAAACGTGCCTCACGAATCACTATAGTCTGCATGTATCGAAAGTGATAAAGCTCATAGCCACAAATTGGTAGAGACCAAAGGATCGCATTATTGTAGACGCTAGAGGTAAGTATCGAGAGCTCATCTATTCTTGGATGATAATATATACCAAAACTTGGTAGAAAGGTATTCTCCGGATGAAAACGGTTCGTGAGATACCTGGATTTATACTTTCCTAGAGTTTGGACAGCCGGAGTGGCTTGATAGTTCTTTTGAAAGATGTAATGTCGCTTGACTTCTGCCCGACTCTCTCTATTAATCAAAAGTTGAATTGGGTTTGATGTTATGACACGATTCTTGCTAAAATCAACAGCTCCTTCTATCGTTCTGGGGTACTCATCAACCACAATCGTTCTTCCGACAAAAGACATCTGCCATATCTTGACTCTGAGCTCCGCAGGAAGTTTTGAGAACAAGGTAAATCTTTTTAGCGGGAGACTGCCTTTATGATTTCGCATTTGAACATGTCGATATAGTCTCCTGTTTTTCTCTGAAGCTGGTACCATTCTCGAGATCGCATTGTCCATGGCTTGAACGCTGAGTCCCATCCGAGGATGCGCAGGTGGTGTAATCTTGTTAAAGCAAGTCGACTTCTTTGATATCATGAGATTGTCATTGGTGGGATCCAACGGGAAGAAGATTTTATCGTCAATCTTCAGATTCGAAAATAACTCTATCAACAATTGATATTCTTGGTCCAACATTTGCGCCGCACTACTTTCCACAAAGTCCAAAGTCTGTGTTGTATGAAATTGGAATGTTACCACAAGTCTAGTCTTCGATTTGTGCTGTGCAGATATTGTTAGTTTTGAAAATCATGAGACCTAAGACGATTGAATTTGAGCAAAGCTTTAGAGGCATCTTACTGTGATGGAAGCACCAATTCCAAGCAATGAGCTCATCTCTGAGGATTTCACATCAGGAGCGCCATCAGTGGCGGCTGAAATTCTGAAGACACTCGAAAGATTTATTTTCTCCTACACAAAAACTTGGTTAAAGGTAATCATCGACAGAGCTAGGAAAGACTTACCATTTTTTTGTTCAAGAAAAGGCGTGGACTCTTTGCTCCGCTGTCGCTGTGAGAGAAAGACAATGGATTTACGATCTTAAAAGTTAAAACTTCTAAGTTATATTCTATAACATTAGATAAGTCAAAAACAAGGGACCGTATCCAAAAATATTACGGGCTGCGCTTGGAAGTTGGATTTTTAACCATATCAAATTATCATTAGCTTCACGAACTGGAGAGTGAGGTCCCCGTATTCCGTAGCCTTGTTGAGAACATCAACAATGCTACCTCAATCACGCTGGATCGTGGTGGTCGATTTGAATTTCAAAAATTCACTATATGAAGTATTCTCCCAAGCCCGAGCGAGAATGGGAAGACTTTTTAATTCGTACTGCAGATCTTCTTCTTGGACATACACATTACGGATCTTCTTCCTCAACATCCGAATTGTGTCTCTTCTTTCTGGAAATGGGCATTGCGAATCTTCTTCTTCGAATTTTGTATTGGGGTACTTCCTGGGATGCAGGACTTCTTCACCATCTACATCTGTATTGCAGACCTCCTTCCAAGGGCAATGCCCATCTCCAACATCTAGATTGCAGCCGTCTCTCCACATGCGCATTGTGGCTCTTCTTCTTCAGCATCTACATCTACATTACAGCCCTTCTTCTAAGGTTGTATTGCGGCACTTAATGTAGGCATTGCTATGGCAAATTCTGGAGCCGTCAGCATTTTATGCAGCCTATAATCCGTCCCCTTCCCAGGACTTTATGTAGGCTATAATTCGTCTCCTTCCTAGGACTACACACCGACGAATACTTCACAAGTTCTTCCTGCACAGTACATTTCAACTATATACATGTTTTCTGCAGTTATAGGGATGTCAAGCTTTGCGATGGCGGGCCTCAAGACCGTCATGCTGATAGCAGGTTTCCGTTTCAATTGAGAGAAGAATTTCCCTACTTCAAAGAGAACTTTCTTAGTCTCTGTAAAAGTGCTGGAATACCTCGCTATCTAAATCTAAAAGAAACTGCCAATCCCAACTACTATCAACAAAGCCCTTCCACCAGTCAAGGCAGAGAGCACAGCCGCCCGGCATGCTAGTTTAAAAGCATGGCAGGAGCATGATCGAGAATGGTATTGCACAGCTTGCCATCGAATACAACACTCATGAAAAGGGTCATGTTATTATCGTAGGTTGCACGACCGCGGCAGAAATGTGGAAGAAATTGTGTGCTCATTACAAGGAATCAGGGTTCTCTACTAAAGCTAACGCTATTAATGCTTTTATCTCCATTGACTATACAGACCCTACTACAGTGGAGGAGTCCAAGATCGCGTTCAATAACACTGTTACTGGTTTGGATAAGTTGAGTTTACCACTTCATAGAGAATGGTACGCTTTGCACTATATCAGTCCTTTACAGTCATACTAACCACAATAGACTCAAAGTCAGCGCTCGAAATTGACCAACAAATCTATACCTCCAACCCTGGTTTCTTTCAAAGCCGACATTGCTGACGAGAGCAGAAATCAAGCCAAGACATCATCAACTACAGGCTCTGCACTTACGGCACATAATATAAAGAGCAAGAAGAAGGACAGAGTTCTTTGTAAGGGGTGTAATAAATGGGCGTTTCATACAGAGTCGGGTTACTTGGAAGTTTTTCCGAAGCTTAAGGAGAAATTCTTCAAGAGAAAGTCGGCTATAACTACCAACCTATCCGATCAAAGCGATAGCGATAGCGACAGCGACAATTCGGCTCATCTCAGCGAGCTTTCCAATAACAAGAGAGCATATATGATGTCTGGGATGTGTTTCTATCCAGCGGCAAACTCACAGCTGAGTTCGGCAATGACTTGTTCCTAATTTTGGAAAGTGCACCAAATATCTTGCCATACTGACGGCTTTTCACACAGCAAAGCTTACCGCTATGAACAAAGTATATCAGAGGAGCTTATTGATGTATCGCTCTGTTGGATACCGCGAATGACGAAAGTCAAGGTGGAGTACCGAGGAATCAACCGGCTCAGCGTCGAACATAGAGCGAATGTGGAGGACATACAGAGGACGCAATACGATAGCGTCATACTTAAAGATGGTTCAGAAGACATACCATGCAGCTGGTTCGTTTGGTGTCGCATTTAAGGACAGTCAAGGAGATACATCGGGAACGAATATGACAAGTGTTAAATACGAGAAGAATTCCAGAGTGGCAGTTCGTTTGTTACCGAAATAAAGATGATCGTAGGGGGTTATTGGAGGACCAATTCATTGAGTGCCGCACATAAAGGGAATGAGACGAGGTACCGCAAGAACAGTTATTTTAGCATCGCGAGAAGGATAGGAGAGACATGCCAAGAAGCTAATACGTGCAGTTCAGGACAAAAGAAAAATCAGGGGGGCCTACCGAGGAGCCAATGTGTGTGCAATCATGCAACACACAAAGAGAACCGGCTGGGTGTACAGAAGAACTAATGCCTTGAGTGCAGTACATGAAGAGATTCGGAAACAGAAAAGGAATATTTACCGAGCAGTACAATTAGGAATAATTTGAGATTCAAAAGGATACGAACCGAGCTCCGCATTTAAGGAAAATATCATGAACATACCGAGGAAGCAATTCGTGGGGCGCTATCTATTTGAAGGATTAGATTGGACATCGAAGAGAGGTAACAAGAACTGGATTCTTCAAATACCGCAGATGAGGCAATCGAGAACACAAAGAAATTTTATAACAAGGGATGCAATTGGGTGGGGTTGATGATACAATGGTATGCAAGCCGAGCTGGAGCATGGAGCAAACTCTAGGATCGAAGCGTGTTATCGTACACATCGAGATGGTGAGAGAGGCAGATCAACGGACCGATTGATCATCTCGAGTATATGGGGGGAAATCGGAGAGCCAGATCAAGGGGAATACATTAATCAAAAGCGCGGTTTCTTCGCTCGTGAAACTAAAAGTTGTCCTTTAAATGTCGCAACCAAGTCTTTGGAGAGTTTTCATCAATCTATTTGCCTTTACAACTATCTCAATGAAGAGAGTCTTGCTATTCGTTGCCCTGCAGTCGATTTCAATTTTGCCAATACCACATTCTGAATATCTTAGGATTTCGTGCAGGCTGCTCATGAAATGTGCATCTGCCACGGCATATGAGAAGAATACCAGAGAGGTAGGTCAAGGAACCGATTGATCATTCACAAAATGCGGACAGGGACGGAGAGGCATATCGAGAAGCGGAGCAATCGACCTCTCAATACAGAGACCAGAGACTGATTGATCTACTACTGCATATGAAGAGGGTCGGAAATGCAGGGCAACAAACGAGTGAATTAGCTACCGCGTACGGAAAGGATCAGAGACGTTGGTGAAGAATCTGATTGATCGGAAAATACTCAAATCTCTTTAAATTTAACTTAAACTATATGTGGAAATAACGACCCACATATTATAGAAGTAGCTTATAGATTCGCTTATACTCAGGGGGACTTGTAATGAGTAAAGCGAGGTTGTGGGAAGATCAAGTGATTCCAGGGGATCGACATATAACATACCCGGTGGATTCACAGATATGTACCAAGTCAAGAAGAGTAAGTAAAATTAATTTGGGTGTCAGATCCGGGGTACTTAAACAAGTTTTGTAGCCGAGACGACGCAGTCGGTCGGTACGATGGTAAACGTCATTTACAAGATCTTTAATCTGCGAGTGGATAATGTGAAGTAGATAACGGTAGCTTAGGGTCGGAATATTCAATGCTCAAGTAGATGACAAGACCAAAATCACCTATCCCGTTGCTATGCTTCGACAGAATGGATTCGAGAGAACGAAGTTGAAACAATCCGATTCAGATCTATGACACGTGAGCTTAAGGGTTGACATATAAACTCAGGTCAACTCATAAGCGTATAATCTATCATTCATTTCTATTCATTACATTATTAATACACAAAATCTTAGACCTAAGCATCGATATGCTTCTCATTAACCAAGACATATCTATATCTTGCTTTACCATCCTCCATATCAACAATAGCTTGGTTAGCATCCTTCATTGGGATATTGTTGTTCCATGTCTTAACACCCTTCTCAGCGAAGAGTGCCAACATATCCTTAATCTCATGTGGGGGACCAATGAGCGAAGCACCGATGGAAAGCTTCTTAAGGATGAGGGAGAACACTAATTTGTGTTAACAATGATTTTTGAAACCAAAGGAACAATAACTTACTGTTGAATCCAGGAATAGTATCTTCAGGAGCACCGACTTGGATGAATTTACCCTGATATCTGAGAAGGGTAAGGTAGCTTTGAAGTGGGAGTTTTGGTGAGGAAACAGTGCTGACGATAAGGTCGAGAGAATTTCCGTATTTTGTGGCCCAATCTGGTTCTTCATCGGTAGCTATACATTCAAAAGTCAGTAAAACTCTCCACTGCAACTCATGAAGTTAAAACACTTACCAATGAATCTAGTAGCACCCATCTTGAATGCATCTTCCTTCTTGGCCGAGGTTCTAGAGATTGCGGTGATTTCATCACAACCTAAAGCTTTTGCACTCATGATACCGAAATGTCCAAGACCACCAATTCCAACAATTGCGACCTTTTTTCCTGGTCCAGCACCATTTTGGGCAAGTGGTGAGAAAGCTGTGATACCACCACAAAGCATAGGAGCCGCAATATCAGATGGGATTGAATCCGGAATCTTAATTACGAAATCACCACTTCCACGCCAGTAATCAGCATAACCTCCGTAAGATTTGCTTCCGTCAGCCCATTTGCTGTTATAAGTAGCGGTCATGTGAGCGCAGTATTGTTGTTGACTGAGGTATATTAGTATTATCCGTCAATATGATGAGTAAAGGACCTACCCATCAGCACAAGCTTCACAATCACCCTTTTGGTTCATACAAGAACCACTTTGGGCACCAACACCAACACGATCTCCAAGCTTGATATCCTTCACCTTGGATCCAACTCTAACAGCCTTTCCAACAATTTCGTGGCCGACACAAACTGGGTAAT